AAGAACGCACTGACACTGTACTAATGGCACTGGGCAGTAAGGGGTTAATATGAGGAGTGATTAAAGGGTTAACGGTGTGCATGGAGTGTTTTACTGGGGGGCTGTATCTGTGTGCTTCACTGTAAATCACAAGCTGACAGGAAGGAGGACTGGTAATAAACAAAACAGTCGTCCTCCCCCTCGGAGATCTTCGGAAATCACAGGGCGCTGGCGAGTAATTACCGGCCGGGACCCGGTGACTGACGCGTCCCCTACCTGGAAATGCAAAATCACATATACATTTATGTAATTTTGTGCACCCGTGCCACCCTGTAGCAGTATTTCTGCTATAGGGTGGATGGGAAGCGGTTAAGTGTATGCATCAGGGCTATTACCCTTATCTCCATTTCACTAGACTGACAATGAATATATATGCAGCCATAGATTATTCGAATCTTGGTCAGTTCACCAGAGGCCTGCCAAGACTCAAACCATATATGGACAGGCAGAATGTTAAGTTTTACATGCGCTGATTAGCAGTGATTACAGTGTGCTCCCTGCTGGACTGTGAGTAACATTGGATTTAAATCATGATTATTTTTGTGATGGGTTTTTCTTTGTTTTAGTAAAGGACTTTGTCACAGGGTCGGCATATCCTTTTTTTTTTTTTTTTCTTTTTTTAATAAGCAACATGTGGTATGTACCCCTTATTTATCCAAGTGAAAGTCACCAGAAGAAATAAAAAGTAAGGGCCCCCAGGAGCTGTTTGCCATAATGTGCCAGTGGGCACAGCATATTAGGAAAATATAGCAGATTTATCTGGCAAGTGATGGCCGGTGGCACTACATGTCATCCCTCTGCAACTGGTGCACAAGAATTACTTCATATCAACACAGAAATGTCTATGCAAATGCTGCCAGGCAGGAAGACTCAATTATGACAAGACACACACAAACACTTCTGTTATAAAAACTTAGTGCAGATTTAAAAAAAAATAATTCTGCATTCACATAGGGGTGGCAGATATACAGGGCCCCTTTATTCTAAAGGGGGCTTCCAGACACCAATAAGTCTCCTCAACAGATCAGGCCAGGTATGTGGGGATGGTATGTGGGGATGGGATCCCTGTCTCCTTAAACATGGCAAGGTATCCCAACCATGTTGTGGGCATGTGGCCTGATAGGACAGGAGAGTAAGGACTACTGAACACCTACCCCTCTTCTCATCACCATAACAATGGGTGTGTTCTGTAGTTCCCACAAGTAACCGCAGCATGACGGCTAAAACTGCTTAGAATTGCACAGAGCACAAGAAAGCAATGGATGTCTCGCTGCATCAATAGTTTTTTTTCACCTCTCAAACAGATAAAGATGATCAGAGTGATATTAAACTTTTTTTTTATTAAAATAAAACATTCCCATACTTACCTGCTCTGTGCACAGAGCAGCCCCAATCATCTTCTTCTGGGGTTCCCCGCCGGCACTCCTCTTTGGAGGGTGCCCCCACGGAAAGCCACTTTCCATGGGGGCACCTGTGCGGGCTTGCTCACGAGCTGCCCTGTCTGCACTCATTAACATGGAACAGGCGGCTCAGCCCCCTCCCCTGTGTCACAGCATTTGATTGACAGCACCAAGAGCCAATGGCTTCCGCTGCTAACAATCTGCCCAATGAGGAGAGACAGCGCTGCCCTTGTCCACATCGCTGGATTGGATTGGGCTCAGGTAAGAAAGAAAAAAAAAAGGGGGGGGGGGGCTGCAGCACAAAAGGTTTTTCAGCTCAATGCATAGAATGCATTAAGGTGAAAAAGCCTTAAGGCTTTATAACCACTTTAAATGGTACATTTTACAAACCAAAATTAAACAAATAAAAAAAGTTCACTGTTAGATTTTACATACATGTTAATGCCTGAGTAGCAAAAATTGCCAAAACAAAAACTTAAGCACCCCAATTTTACTCCTGCAGGCTGGACTGGGGGAAGGGAGCAAAAAATTGATCTTGCTTAATTATCCTAATCAGAAGCACAGCCTGAACACGAATTATGTCTATTAGGACTTAAAATTATTACTGGTGTGCAATTCAAGGACAGACCATTAAACGAGCTGGGAGGATGACAGTCCTAAGCAAAACTGGGATTGAATTGAAAAGACAAGCCTGCCACCACACCATCTCCCCAAATCCTCTAAAGGTTTTCAGTTGCTGAAATACAGCCTCCAAAAGGATTCCTGGTGCTGATTAATATAACAATACCTGCTACTAATGCTAAACAGGTTGCTTCCTTCCTCTTCATGTTGTCGTACCCCAGAGACACATCACTCACAGTTATGCCAATACTGCTATTATGTGCAGGATAAAAAGCTGCCAGCTGCCAGAGTCTTTATAACACATTTAGGGCCTTGGAAGATTAATTCTGATAGTGTACTTTCTATTACCCAATGACAGCAGTACTTCATGATTGTCATTTACAATCACGTACCTGACATTTCACACTCATCCTTCTTAGCATTTTGTATTTCCAGAGGGACATGTAAATTAATGCAGTTTTGATATACACATCTAAAATAGTTTAAGAATCCTAAAATTAATCCCTGAAGGTAAAGACACAGACATTCCACCAGATCATCTGTCATTAAAAGTACAAGAATTTAAAATGCCTGCATATAACAAAAATACCAAACGGATCTTAGGTGCAACTCCAGGAAACCTACTGCACTGCAAGGGTTAACTAGTCAATTGCATCATGAGGACAGAAAAGCAGTTTAACTTGCCCAATACTTGGCTTCCCTGTCAGATGGTGCTCCCCATGCTCAGCAGAGGACATTTTCTCAGTGTCCAATACAGGGCTATGGTCAGTATGCCAGTAGCTACAACTCTCCAGACCACCAAGAACTGCAACCAAATTTGGTATTTCTGCTTTAGATGGATACAGATGAGTTGCACATTAGCATCCATAGAATGTTTGCCGTAGCTCAATGTTGAAGCTACCAGATGAAATGTCACTCCGTTGTGCTTGAAAAGTTCCCCAAACGTCAGCTTTAACACACAGGCTTGGGGAAACTAAATTCTAAATATGCCCCCTCAACCACCCCAACGTAAATGTAAATAGGAGTTCAGGCATGAAGGCAAATCTGTAATGCAACGCAGACACCTGTATTGAACATTGATTTGTAGGGCTAAAGCGAACGGAAGAGGCACATCAACATTTCATAGATTTGTGCAGGAAACTTGTGGTACCTGCTTTCTTAAGCAGGATACACACGCATCGTTTTGTATTTGTTTTGTTTTTTTTTCGCTCAACCACCCAAAAAAATGCATAGATCCCCGCATCCACACAAAAGCGATGTGAATGCAGAGATTTCCCTCATTGCATTACTGTTTTCTGACAGCAGGGACTGACCATCACCCCCATCAGAAAACACTGATTTATTTCAGGTACTTATACAGTGCTGTCAATTTACGCAGCACTATACATATACTGTATATTGTACATTCACATCAGTTCCTAACCCTCAAGGGACGTACAATCTAAGGTCCCTAACTTACATTCATACATACACATACTAGGGACAATTTAGACAGGAGCCAATTAACCTACCAGCATGTCTTCGGAGTGTGGGAGGAAACCCACGCAGGCACAGGAAGAACATGAAAACTCCAGGCAGGTGGTGCCGTGGTTAAGATTCGAACCAATGACCCTAGTACTACCAGGCGCAAGTGCTAACCATTTAGCCACTGTGCTGCCCACTGATCAGCGATGCAGACATTGGCTAAATGCGCTGATCAAATGCTGGTTACCCAGCACAACCATTCGACAGAAGCCAGTCGAATTTTGGTACATGTACACCCAGCTTTATTCTACTAACTATATCCCATTGCAGCTGAGTGCAAACCGTGTACTCTACAGTAAGTTTATAGTCAGGAAATTATAATCAGGTTATTGGTAAGCAGCCTATTCAATTTAGGAACCCCACGTGCAGCCCCTAGCTTTATTAATGGCAACTGCCACACATTTGGTATTAATTTAATAACACATTGCAGTGAGGTGTCAAGCTATAGCAACCAAACAGATCTCATTTACTGCAACATTTAAAAAAAAAAAATAATTTAAGTGCCGGTTGCCATGCTGCACCACGTTAATAAGTAGCCAAGACACAAATTGCCTGTATGTAGTTTTGAAGTGGTAGCATGATGTACAACAAGAAAATGGACTGAGCTGCCCCCAGTAGTACACATGCCTGCACAAATCATCATAGCTGGGAAAGCGCCTATACCGGGAGCACACTATTACCCAAATAAGAAAGGCAGTCAACTTCTGGCCCAGCCCCCTTCTTCCTCTTAGCAAATACATAGACATGAGATGACGGTCACTCAGTTAGGTCACATTTGGCTGCATTAAGCGAGGATGTCTGAGTGGCCTCAGTCTGCCTGCTCACTGATAGCAGGGAGAATAATCGATCAGGCAGGTTAGCACACCTGCCCCACGTATTGTCCCACTGCTGATAAGCTGCTAAATTCTTTAGTGTTGTATCATGTTGAGTGTCCACGTGTAGGCTCCTATGAGTACAGGCTGTCAACCACTCATATCGGGTAAATAAGTTACCAGTTTATTTTTACTTCAAACCACAGAGATTAAGGCTAGTAAGGGCTCTTCGTTTTCACCATGCCAAGAGAAGTTCATTCAAGTTATCTTCCACTGGTACTATCCCCAGAATGTCTCCCTCCCTCTACCTTCTCCCTCCTATCCCTCCACCTTCAACTTATGCAGGAGGTACAGAAATTGTATCTGCTCTTCTGGACCCATCACAAAATGTAACCATTTTGATGGCTTGGATTGCAAAATTCACTGACAATCTAATATCTCCATCCCCTCTGCATTACTGCTTCTAGGACTACCTTTAAAGTGTTACTAAACCCACAACAGTAAAATCAGTCTGTATATGCAGTAACACATGCTTGTTATACTCACAGTGGAACCTAAGGGGTTAATTCTCTGCATTGTGTAAAAGGCTGTTTGATCATGACTTCTCTGCTGCTCCTCCTAAGACAGATTTAACCATAGCCATTCTGCACATGCTCAGTATAGTATGTAAAGAAACGAAACCAGCGCTCAGATCTTCATGCAGACTTAAAGGAATTCAAAATGGCAAACGAAGAGGTGCTGTCCTTCAAAGATCGGGAAATCTGGATGCTAATGAACAAAAAAGGGCGCACTCTCATCGTGCATTACTGTGGTATACACCGTGTTTATTGTGTAATCAGATAGATGTATACTCACAAACCAAAAAGGATAATAAAAGCAGTGTGAATGGTCCGCAATAGCAGTCAATGCAATGCTGTGCCCCAATTGGGGAAAAGCTGATGCGTTTTGGGAGATGAACCCCCTTCCTCAGAACTCTCCCGAAGCGCATCAGTTTTTCCCTAATAGGGGCACAGCGTTGCATTGACTGCCATTGCAGACCATTCACACTGCTTTTATTATCCTTTTTGGTTTGTGAGTATACATCTATTTGACTACACAATAAACACGGTGTATACCACAGTAATGCACGATGAGAGTGCGCCCTTTTTTGTTCTCTGTTCAGTATTGTATGTATTGCTAGAGGTTTTTCTTTTGTTGGGAGAGTGCATGTGATCAGCACAGGGCCAATCAGCACTGTCCAGAGGTCAGGGGTTTTGCATCATCCTACAGTAGAAACAAAACTCCTCCCACAAGCTTTAACCAGTGCTCTGCTGGACACTGATAGAAATCACAAGACTGCTCTAACTGCTGAAGAGAAAAGGTATTTAGCAGTTTATAGTTACTGAAATAATTGCACTTTCATGTTCTGTGTACTGTGGGAGACCAGATATAGTGAATACAGGGTCATGGGTTTATTAACACTAAGTGGTATATCCTGTAAAATTAACCAGATTATGGCTCACATACTGACTGCCTCAAAATGCCTGATGGTACTGCAATGGAAAAGAACTGTACCACCATCCCAAGAGCAGTGTGAACAGTAAGCTTTGACAAAGCATTTGCAGAGCTTTCAGCAAGCTTTGTTGACGTTTTCAAAGTTTTAGCTCCAGTTTGTAAATGCTGAACACAGATCCTAATAGGAGTCCTGATTACCTCTTTAAGCAGGCTGCTAGCAGGCTTCTGCACTTCCTGAAGCTTGTTGAAAGCCTGCTAGAATCTTGCTTGAAGTGGCAATCAACACTCCCCTTAGGATCTGTGTTTCACATTTACAAACCAGAGACGAATGGTACTTTACAAGCTTCAACAAAGCTTGCTGAAAGCTCTGCAAATGCTTTGTCAAAGCTTGCTGTTCACACTGCACTTATACAAGCAGATTCCTTTGGGAAACAAAAACGAAGGGAGAATCAACCAATGGAGCGCTTCTCCACCAAGCTCCATAACATCTTTAACCTTTTTGGTGCACTTGCGAACCCTGGAATACAGATTTTTCAGTATTGTCTTGAATATACACACTGCTACTGCTGTCTCCAAGGACTGGACACTGCTTTTATCTCATGGCTCTATTTTGCTTATACTGATTTTCTGTTCCATCTATGTATCAATGTAAATACCAACAAACTGGACTCTGTCCACCATTAAATAAGCAATTTTGAAAGTGATGTTAATTTAGTTTTTAGTTATCTTATTGACATGTTATTCACATAGATTTTTAAGTCATATATATGTGTACTATTGAAAAAGGGGAAAATATTTTAAACATTTCTATAGAAAAAAAAACAAAAAAAAAAACACTTCCACGGTTCCTTTTCGTTCAGCTGAGTATAAAAAAAAAAAAAGGTATGGAATCCACTTAGACAATACCATAACAAAAACAGCGCAATTATTTTGCTCTTACCATGACCTTGTTTCCTCTACTTCTAGACCACATCCTCTGTACCCAAAGTTTGAGGAAAGAAAAGCAATGCAAGGTAAAACATTTGTTTACTTTACATAACACAAAAAAAAATCCTTGTGCTATCAGTGCCTTTGGAATTCATCCTATTTTTCATTAGCAGTATGTTAAAAGAAAACTCCACTTTAACATGAACCTAATGGCTCTAATTTATTTCTCAAAGTAACAAGCATTCTCAATGCAAGTTGGCATGTTAAATATTTTAAAAGAAATGTAAGTTACCTCCTATTTTACAAAGTAAATTCAGCTGGGATGTGTGAAGGACTGCATATCATTTCCCTAGGACATGCAAACTGCTGCAATTACAGCAATGTCCTTTCAGTCTAAAAGACTGTAGATGGAAAAAGGTTTGATTATTAACTGATCACACTACCAGGAGATACTGACATCTGAACAGCTGCAGAAAAAGCAAGCTTGGCAATGATTTCACTGCAAAAGGAGCATTGTTGTCACCCTATCAAGGAAGTGCCTACCCAATGGTTCTAATGGCAGGATCAGCAGGTATTTTTATGGCTTTCTAAAGGCGGTAACAAAATAGTCTGTTTCTCACAACATAGCAGCTTAGCTCTGTATGTACACAGAAATCACATTTCCTGGTTTTTTTTTTGTGGTTGGCTCATCGATTTCCCCACAAATCTGCATTTCTTTAATTAAAGCACACTATTTTTTTCTAAACCCTAATGATCAACTAGTGCTAAGAAAAGCATGGCTCTTCTGATAAATCATTTTGAGATGGGACAAAGTAAGGCATCTGTGAATTCTTTCAAATCAGAGAAAGGTTACATCTGCAAATAAATTTGATAAAGGTCTTTAAAAACACAGATTTCACTTGGATGTGATTGCTCTGAAACTGGATTTACAATTCAATTTAAAAGATTAGTCCATGCAGGACTGATACTTCCAAGGCAGCCCAAAGACGGAGCAAATTTCTTTAATGCAACCACGGGTTGCAGGAAAGAAATTCAGAAACAGAGTTGACAGGGGAATCCCTCCCACAGAGCCATTGTGTTCTCCCAGCAAGGGGAGCTGTCCCCGCAGGGCAAACAAAAGTCGCTAGCAATAATCGCATATAAAATCCGGCAGACTGGTTGTACACACAAGTTGATCAATTGCTTGGGTACCCTCAGCCTGCTCATACAAGGTTCAAATCTTGGCCAGTTCCTGCTGAACCATCCAAGATTCGAAACGTCTATGGCAGGCTTAACTGCATTATCTATAATACAAGAAAGTGATTCCGCAGTTAATTGAGAACATACATGGCCTGGGGCAAATGGTATTATTAAAGGATAAGTTCACCTTTTGCACAAAAATGGTAAATGCACATTTTTTTACCTGCAAAAAAAATGCGCATTTATTATTGTTGTCTGCAGGAAGCCTATAAAACATTGCACCAGCAATCAGCAGATCGCTGATACCATGCAGGTCACCTGCAGATCTGGCAATACATCTGCTTTCCCATACATGATGGAGCAGTGGGCGGGGTGTGGCAGCTGCAACATTGGGAACATGTAACATGTTCCCAAAGGTGAACTCATCCTTTAAAAGTGCTCTGGAGACTCAAGCTATTCAAATCTACCAAAAACTTAAAAAAAAAAAAAAAAAAAAAAAAAAAAAAAAAAAACAAAACTACAAGAACTTCTGATGGAACAAAGTGTAAGCTTTCCTACAGAAAATGCTGCTCATGAATCCCTTCAGTGCTGGTCACATGTTTAAAAGCTTAAGAATTAGGTCAAGTACTGGAGCTGGTGTTTGGGTGGCTCTACCTGGCATCACCTAATATAGAAGGCACAGAGAAAAAGATGCATAGTACAACAATCCATGAGATCAAATATCGTGTCCTGGAAAAAGTAAATCAAAATCTCCATCAACACAGGTAACCACATTAAAAGCAGGAAATTACATATTCCAGGGGGTGGGTGTTGTAGCCATATTGCATTGCATTTGACAGAAAATTATAGTGTTGCAGATTGAAAAGAAATGGTAATTTAATAACATTCAATTACAATACAACTTGTGTCAATTTTATATGCTACATTTTTTTTTAAATTTGCCCATTTGTTTCCTACGAAAAATAAGTTATAATTTACATGGTTTAGCTTTAAAGAGTATGTGGGAAAAACCTATGCACTAAATGCATTTAAAAAAAACAAAAAACACAAAAAAACATAAGTATGTGAAGTGAAATGTATCCAAATTAAACACTGCTGCCACCTTAAAATAAATCACACACAATAAATGAACCCTAAAGTAATTCAGTGGCGCAAAGGATCACTTTAGGGTTCATTTATTGTGTAAAGCATGTAAATATCTAGAAAAGGAAATGAGAAATTGAGTGTCCCATGCAATGAATGTCATGCAAAAGAAGGTCAAACTTTCAAAATATAAAATGCTGCTCATGCAGACAGTAACTATTGTATGCTTATAACATGTATTCCTGTTCACCCGCCTCCTGCCCACCATATAAGGAAATGACAGGAGCACGGTGGTTCTCTCATTCATATGACATCCTCCCACTCTAATCACATGTGCGTGCCCCCGGGGGAGCACAGCGCGGAGTTCGGTGATCACCGATCAGCGGAAAGAGCCAATGACTTTGGCTCTGTAATGTGATCAGCTGTGTCCAATCACAGCTGATCGCATGTAAATAAGGAAATGCAGTTATCGGCATTTCTCTCCTCACGGACTGTCACGCTGACAGCTCGTGAGGAGAGGAGAGTCAGTAATCAGCATTCCTCAGAGGGGACATCTACACTGATCATCAGGGCACTGATGATCAGTGTAGCCCCATCAGTGCCACCCGTCAGTGTGCATCAATGCCATTTGTCATTGCCCATCAATGCCACCTGTCAGTGCCTACCAGTGCACATCAATGCCACCTGTCAGTGCCTACCAGTGGACATCAATGCCACCTGTCAGTGCCTACCAGTGGACATCAATGCCACCTGTCAGTGCCTACCAGTGGACATTAATACCACCTGTCAGTGCCCACCAGTGCCCATCAATGCCACAGTGCCCATCTGAGCTTCCCGACAGTGCCGCCCAACAGTGCCCCACAACAGTGCCATATGAGTACTGCCTTTCAGTGCCCATCAGTGATGTCTGTGAATGCCCACCAGTGATGCCTGTCAATGCCCATCAGTGCCACCTACCAGTGCCTCCTCATCAGTGCCCATCAGTGCTGACTATTAGTTCCAATCACTTCAGTCTCATTAGCACATCAGTGAAGTAGAAAAATTACTCATTTACATAGTTTTGTAGCAGAAACTAAGGAAAAAAAAAAAATTCTAAATTTTCAGTTTTTGGTTTATCAAAAAATAAAAAAAACCCAGTAGTGATTAAATAACACCAAAAAAGCTCTGCCTCAAAAAATGATAAAAATGGCATGTGTATAGTGTTGCATGACCATGCAATTGTCAAAGTGAGACTGTGCTGAAAGCTGAAAATTGGCCTGTGCAAGAAGGGGGTGAAAGTGCCCGGTAGGCAAGTGGTTAAAGAACTGTTAATGCAAACTAGAATTTCCATCCAGTGAACTGCATTAACTAAAAGCACTACATTTCTTTTCATATTTTTAAGTGTTACTAAAGCCACAACAGTAAAATCAGTCTGTATATGCAGAAAAGCATGCTTGTTATACTCACTGTGCAACCTAACGGGTTTAACCTCTGCATTGTGTAAAAAGGCGGTTTGATCCTGTCTTCTCTGATCCTTCTCTGCTTCCACAGTCCCCAATCCATCTGCTGATTGAGCATGTGTAGCTTGTCCCCAAAGCCCTGTTCTGTTTGATGTGTATTGCTAGAGAGTTGTTTTTTACTTGGGAGAGTGCATGTGACCAGCACAGGGCCAATCATCGCTGTCCAGACAGAGGGTCAGGGGTCATGCATCCTCATACGACAA